GTCCCGCCAGTACTTGTCCCGCCGGTGGTCCCGCTGGTACCGCAATTTTTGCTTGGTCCCCCATGGTTCCCGGTACTAATCCCGTCGGTGCCGCGTGGTCCCCGACACTCAACCCGTTAATGTCGCGCCTTTGCTTGCTCCCATGTGGCCCCCGACACTTGACCCATTAGTGCCGCATTTTTTCTTTGCTCTCACTCGGTCCCTGACACTTTGTCCCGTCGGTACCGCATCTTCCCTTGGTCTCACGTGGTCCTCAGCACTTTGTCCCGCCGGTACCACATCTTCTCTTGGTCTCACGTGATCCCCGACACTTTGTCCCGCCGGCACCACATGTTCTCTTGGTCTCACATGGTCCCCGGCACTTTGTCCCGCCGGTGCCTCCCCAGACGCGGGCCCCTACTTGGCCCGTGGCCCCCTTGAGCCTCTTGTTGTTGCGTCCTAGTGCCCCACCTGGTCCGGCCACCTTTTCCCATGCCGGCGCCTTATATCCTATCCTTTTCTGCTTCTTTTCTCTCTTTGCGGCGCACATCCCGCGTTTACTACTATTCCTGGCGACCCTTCTCCGTTTCGGGGGAAGGATCGCCTTCGCTATTTTCTTGCGGCCCTTTGCCGTTCCTTGTTCAGTCAATTTTGTTCTTAGTCCGTTGGTCCCGACGACTTTGGGTTGTTTCTAGGTTCCTAGCGCCTATGCCTAAGCCTTGATCCTTCCATCCTTCTTACCTCCAGTTTTCTCTGCCGCGCACAAATTAGTCATATACAGTCTCTTGAGTGACGGGAAGTCATTCGGGACTCACCAGTCCCAACACATTCCCCCCACTCATTCGTGATGTCCTCATCTCGCACTAGTCCATAGTCAGTAAGGATTCGAGAGTGGTAGACCGGTAGGGAAGAGGGGGCGGGGCGAGATGGGTAGTTAGCTTGCCAGGGTCCTTTGTGTCTTTTCCCATTCCTTTCTCAGGGTTTTCTTTAGTTTCCCGCTCCTTGGGGGTGGAGGAGGGTATGGGGGAGTCAAGGGTTCTTCTTCGGGCCTCTCTTTTCTTCCTACAGCTTAGACCAGGTTGCTCATTTCCATCATAGCTCTGCCTCTTTAACTTTCCCTCAATCGAGACACGAACTTTCTCTTCAGTCAACTTTGTATACCTAGCAGGGTAGCCTATAATTCTTTCGACTTTCGTAGCATGAAGCAGACGAGGCTCCCCTTGCTTCATGCACTTAACTACTGGCATGCTGGCTTTATTCCCAGGATGACAATTTGTTGTCATAACACAATTGGTTTTCTCATTTTATGCCTTGGCATTGTTGATAACAAATTGTAGGCAAGTTTTCGTATGTGACTCAACGTCAGACATTTGCCTCGGAAGGAGATGTTCATCCAGTACAACCGCCGCCTTTGCTGTGGTGATACCCACTTCGAATCAATGAACATAGGCACAACTCCCCCTAAGTGCTTCGTAATCTCAAATCCATCTTCCCATTTCATTGAGAAAACATTCTCGAGCAGACACCATTCTGGTTTCGTCTCATTCATTACTCTTAGAGCATCCACAAATAATCTGCTTTTCGGCCTGTGCAATCCACGTTTTCAGTACAACTTTTCCTCTCCCCTAGGTTCAGGCTTAGCCAATTCCGCATGCATTTTTCCGGGTCATTCTTCCCGGCTTTTCTCAGGTCCTACCAATTTCGCATGCATATCACCCCTTTGTCCTTTTTTGCTTCTTTCTTAACTTTCCATGTATCGTACTCAGTTCATCCCTGGTGCACTTCTCTTCTTAGGCACCTTGTCAGGCTTTCTTCTCAAGCCAATGCAAGCCAATTACTCATCAATTTCTCAGCCTGCCAGTCCTTTTCTCAGGTCCATGCAAAGTCAATTATACCGATCTTTTCTTTCCCGGTCGTCTTGCCAGGCCCTTCTCTCAAGCTCATACCAATTTCTTGCTCAAGTCCTTTCTGTCCGGGGCATCTTGCCAGGCCCCCTTTTCTCAGGCCCATGCAAACCCAATTACAAGTCTTTTTCTTTTCTGGGCGTCTTGCTAGGCCCTTTTTCTCAGGCCCACGCACAGCCAATTACACAATTCTTTTCTGTTCTGGGCATCTTGCCAGACCCCTTTTCTCAGGCTCGCGCAAAGCCAATTACACAATTCTTTTGCATGCGTTTTCATTGGTAGATGGCACATCTTCCCCCCACTCGAAACGCGATGTCCCCATCGCGTGACTGGTTCTCACTCGGAGGTACGCAGACCTTTGGCCCACCAACCGCAGTCAAGGACACAAGCCCATCCGCTTCACAAAAGGAAGAGTGATCAGTTCCTCCCCAGCGAATGACGCCTCATCCTTCTACTCGGTCCGACCTTTCTTCTCTCACGTGGCGAGCACCAATACTAAGGTTCTTCCTCACGTCTGGCAGGCAGGTCCAATCCAAGCCTTCCAGGGCCTCGTCTAGCCGTAAAAGCGTTCCTCGCGAATCGTTCCTCCCGAGTGGTAATTTTCTGGATCCGGCCTCTTCCTTTCAAGAGAGTTGGGGCTCTCCTTTAGTTTGCGAGTGCAGTTACGAAGACCTCGCAATTAGTCCCGAAACGGTTGTAATGTTCCGACAGGACAGTGTCAATGCCCCGTGGTGGTGGCGGACTCCACCCGGTACCTTGCCAGCCTCTCCCCTTGGACAGTGCCACCCAACTTAGCGGGGACAACCGTGGTCCGACCCAAACAGCCATGACACCCCTCTATGACATGTCGTGCGGTTGGAGAATAGCAAAATAGACTAGATGAGAATGGCTCTCTCGCCCATTTGACTTTCTCACCCTTTGACGTTTAGGCATCCAACAAGAGGCGCAATTTGAAATCCTCGACTAGAGCTCATTGTCGGGGTCAGTTTCGGACGTCCCGCACCGATCCAAGTGGTAGGTGCCTTGGTCCTTTAGCCCTCATCCTCTTAAAGGAGAAACAGGTCGCGCTGAGACTTTTTCCTTCAAGGGGATGGGTCGCGGTGCGTGCACCGGTATCCCCCTCTTGCTGAGGCCAAAGACTAGAAGAAAAGAGAAATCCATTTCAATGTTATTTCCAAGTCCATTTCAAGTTGCATAAAATCTTCTGTTTATGCAATGCAATTTCCAATACTCAATCCAATTCCAATGCTCAATCTCATCCCAATACTCAGTCAAATTCCAATGCACAGTGCAATATCTCTTCCAGGGCTGAGTCCAATATCTTTTCCAAGGCTGAGTCCAATATCTTTTCCAAGGCTGGGTCCAATATCTTTTCCAAAGCTCAGCTCTTCCCAACGTCTTTTCCAAGGCTCAGCTCTTCCCAATGTTTTTTCCAAGGCTCGGCTCAATATCTCTTCCAAGCTCAACTCTTTCCAATCTCATGCGTCTCAAGCAGCCGTGCAAGGGGATCCCAGTGCCAATTCCAAAGAATGACCCTTGTCAGGGGCCATTCCGAAGAACCTGGTTAGGGTCGCTCTTTCCAATTCCAAGTCGAACAGCCTGGTTAGGGCCGTTATTATCCATTCCACTGTTAGCGCCCGAGGGGGTAGGCGTCAAGGACACGGATCCTATTCTCGTCTCAGGGGTTAGAAGGCGGCCATCTTCTCGGGTTTTTACGCATGGTTCTTTCTCTTTGTCGTGTCATTTATCATTCTTATGTCCATCCATACATCCGACTTAGCGTCTAGTGCTCGAGTTGAGGCTTGCGACCCCAAGCAGCACTAGCCCGCCCGGTCGTTCAACCATTATAAGAAGTGCTTGCTCATTTCAATGTTTCCTTTCTCTGGCCTCTCATGCCCTTTCATTGCTCTGGACTTGTCCGGGATAGGTTGGATTAGGTTCCTAGGGAAGAGGATTTTTCATGCTTCTTTACCCATAGGTCTCCTAACCTCTCACAGGGACTCCTACCATGACTCATTCAACCCTGGATACACAATTCAAAAAAAAGAAAAGCTTTTGCCATCAATTTTTCTTTGAAACTTCAACAGTCCCCATACCCTTGCCCATCTCTCAAGAAATAGTCAATCATCCCTAATCCCCTTCTTACTACCAAAAAGCTTAGATTTCTCAAAGGAGCGAGTACTTATCTAAAGTAGCACTGGTCGCCGATCCCTCACTAGCTTCCCCAGTCCACAGAGTTGTTATGTCGCAACTCTTCCAAAAAAAGGAGACAAGGTTCGAATGCAAAGAAACAACATTACGGACTTGTCTCATCTAGGCCCCTCTGTCTTTCCTTTGCTTTTCTTAAACCAAACCCAGCCTTTCGTAGTTCTACTCTTAAGTGCAATGATCCCCATGCCCTTTTCTGAAGAAGCTGCCCAGTTTTAGCTTATTTCAAACTAAAAAGTTGTCTTATTGCAGTCCATTCTCAGAAGATTTAGATGCAAAATTCAGAATGATAGATCTACCTGCCCAAGTACCATCCCTTACCAATTTCTAGCTACTCCCTGCTATGCCTGTTACCCCTTTACTGCCCTGCTGCCCTGCGCCGAGCCTCCCTTGCACGATCATCAATCTCTCGTTGCATTCGTCTCTTTGTCCTTTGCAGCTGAAGGAGTGCCTCCTCCGTGAAGAAGGTTGTTGGGGATATGTCCTCTCCCCTGCTCAGCTTTTCCTTTCCCTTCATTGCCCACTCATACCGCAAGATACTGGCCCATTGATCGAACCAATCGCTAAAGTCGGCCCAAACTCTCTTATCCATTTGTCCTTTTCTTCCCCCGGGTCCTCCTCTCTTCCCCGTACTTCCCTTGTGGGTGTTGTCACTTCATCCTCTTCCTCCTCGCTGCTGAGGTCTATGACCTCGATGGGCTCCTCCTCCTCCATCCTTCTGCCTTTTCCCTAGGCTCCCCTCTTCCTCACTGCTAGTGTCATTTTTCCGACGGGAGAACTATTGGCTCCCCCCCTCTCAGTGGTGACGGTCCCTTGGTTCCTTTCTTCCTCCCCCCTCTGTTCACAACCAGATTGTGGTCAAATCCCACATACAACTTCCTCTTTCTGGAACTTGACTCTCCAGCCTGTCTTGTTGGTTGCTGTTCATTTGGTCGGTTGATAGCGTTGCTGTCATTCTCATTTCCAAACTGCATCTTGTCTTTTCTTGCTTTTCTTCTTCTTCCCAGGTCCTGTCCATACATAACAGTCACCGCATCCCCTCATACGCACACATTCCCTCCCACTCCCATTTGCAGATTTGCAGGCTTCCCCAGAACTCTTGCTTGCCCCCATATAGTTGGTAGTCTCATTATCCCTTAGAACCCTTGACACATTGTCTGAGCGCATAGGTACCTCATGTAGACAGTCCCTAGAGTTGCCCCACAAAAACTATGGTACATTGTCCCATGCTCCCAACCTCATTCATACTCAGCCCAGGCAGTTACCCATGTTTCACAGGAAAAGACACAAAAGAACAACCCCTGCAGTCTTGATTACTTCCGCAGGAAGGCGGTATAGACTCATAGCCAGCTGCCTGCTTTTCAAGTTGTCAATTCCCCCGTTTCCGTGTCATGAGCCTCCTGTAACCATTGCTCCACCGGATCCCTGCTCAAAAACCTGACCAGCCTCTATCCCAGAAATGGTCCTTTTATCCTAGTACCATCGAGATCTTCAAGTTCAAAAGTGTTCAGACCCACCCGCTTTGCGACCCTGTAGGGGCCTTTGAACCTTTTTCCCAGCTGTCCAGACCCTCTGCTTTCAAGTGTCGAGTTCCTGACTAGTACCTTTTCTCCCACTTGAAGCGGCTCCTTCTGGATATTCTTTACCTGATCCCACCTTGCTTTGTCCCTCATTCGACTATCCATTACCCGCCTGACCACATCCTCCAAGGCTTCCTCATTTCTCACGACCTGTTGGCAACGTGCCGCAATTAGTTCGTCCGTAGACATGTGCGGATTGTCATCTAGCCTGTTCCAGGTAGGAACCAGAGCTTCCATCGGGAAATCGATCTCCCTCCCATACCAGAGTTCTACCGGAATGCATCCCGTCGTCTTTTTTGGCGTCATGTTCTCAGAGAAGACCGCCTGCTTAAGGTATCGAGGCCAGTTTGCTAGGTCATCCGCCGCCAACTTAGCGATCGTGTTTTTCAAGGTCTGGTGCCCCCTCTCTACTGGTGCATTTGCCTCAGAATGGTATGGTTCAATGATCTTGATAGGTACGCACAACGTCTTGAGCCTGCTTAGCACTTCGTGATTTACAAATTCCGTCCCATTATCCACTATAAACCTGCGCACAAAGGGGTGCCTTAGGTAGAAGTCCTCTATCCAATCGGCCACTCCCTTCCCCGTCTTTCTCTTAAGAGTTACTGCCTCCACGTAACCACTGAGATTATCCCTTGCGTCCAGGATGTACCTATACCCATCCGTCGATACATGGTCGAGGTGGACCAAGTGCCCCGGCCCTAGTACCCGGGTCGGTCTAAGGGGCTCGAAGACGCGTGCGGAACTTCTCTCTTGGCATATCAGGCACGTCTGGCAATATGTTGCCACCATACCCGCCATCCCTGGCCAGAAGTAGAGGGGCGCGATTTTCGCAAGGGTCCCTTTTGACGACGTGTGCCCTCCGGCTAGTCCATTGTGCATTGCCTGAATAACATCCAACTGTCAAGACCTTCCGCATACAACACGTCTGGCATCATCCCTTCTTCTTTCTTGAACAGGTGGCCGTTCCTTAAGACATACTTTTCGGCTTCCTCCCTTGCCTTGGGGCTGACTTGCTTAGGCTGCTTGTTTCCTATAAGCAGCAAACCGATTTCTCTAAAAATGCCCTCATACATCTGTATAAGGAAGAATTCTCGTTCCTTCCGATCAGCATCCTGCTCCTCCTGAGTCTGGTTAACTAGGGACCGCCACTCCCTTTGCGCCCAGGTCTCTATTAGGGTCATCACAGCGTCCCGTCCCCCTTCAACGACCATTGCCATCAGTTCCTCTTTGGGTCTTACCGCTGCTCCCCACGCATCCTTTTCCCCTTTGTGGCTAAACGTGGTGACCGGTCCTTCCCTGAGTTCCGCCACTACCGCAGGCGCGCCCTTTTCCAGAGTCTGGATCAGCAACTGACTCGTTGTCGGCGCGGCGTTTGCCATCTCGTTATCCACGACGAGGGTCCCTCCCTCGTATTCCAGGAAGGCGTCAATTGGCTCCGCATCCTCTATTCCCTCTGGTGTAATACACACCCTACTCAGCCCATCCGCCCTATTTCGAAGCCCCGCAATTCGCTCGACCTTGTAGTCGAATTGCCATATGAAGCCTATCTATCTCCCAACGGTTGGATCTATAGGTTTGTAGTTCCTCAGTGCTCCTGCAACGTCGGTCGGATCGATCCTTAGAATAAATCGCCTCCCGAACAGGTGTGCCTGGAAGGTCTTGAGACAATGCAGGATAGCTAGGACCTCTTTCTTGAACTGTGAGTACCGCCGCTCTGCCGAATTCAAGGTTCTACTCTCAAATCTGATCGGTCTTTCCTTACCCTCCTTGCTTTTTTGTATCAATACTCCTCCTACTGCCAACGGTCCCCCGTCTGTTTCTAAGATAAACGGTCGTCCTACTTCATCATTGAAGCAGGGTGCAGCCAAGGTAACCTGATCAGAAGACGGGACATCTTTGACAGTTTGAGCTGCCGCTTCCCTATCCTCGGTCCGGTCCATAGTGCCACCTTCCCTAATCATTGCGCGGATGGGCTCAGCTATCTTTGCAAATCCTTTGATAAAGATCCTCCAGAATCCGACCACCCCTAGGAAGGCTCTTACTTTCGTCGTGGTGCGCAGGGGTCTTGGCCATTAGGAGATCTTATCCGTCTTCGCCGGGTCGGGTTTCCTTCCATAGGCCCCACAGCGAAACCCTAATATGGTCACTTCCGGAACGGCCAAGATGCTCTTTGGTCCACTTGCGGTAATATTATAGACCAAAAATCGTTGTAGGAGGTCCTTGATGTCCTGTAGATGATCCCAGACAAACTTTCGTACACCCGGCTCGACCTCTGTCTCATCCTTGTTCCGCGCGCCCTTTATGGGATTATCGTCTTTATACGGCTTGCACTTCTCCGGGAACATGTCCCCTGCTACGGCAAGCATTCTCCTCTATGCTTCTGCCACCGCGTTTATGAAACCCATAGGGGTCACTTGCATCTGCAACTGCCCTACCGGTGTGTGCATGGCGGTGTACGGCCTATCCATCGCATCGAGCGACAGTTGGTCATATCCTGAGTACAAATCTATCAGGGAGTAAATACTTCACCCAGCGTGGGATTCTGCCAGTAGGTCGATCTGTGGGAGCGATCCTACATCCCGGATTGATACTGCGTTCAGCTTCTGCAAGTCCTGAATCCATCTGAGTGTCTTGTTTGGCTTCCGGAAAACGAACCACTTGTTTGCATAGGGGGATGCGGTGGGTTCGACTACGAACGAATCTATCTTGGCCCTAAGTAATTCAGTGACCTCCGCTGCTATTCCAAACTCATAGGCAGGTCCTTTGTTGTTCCAGCATTCGTGTTCTACCGTGTGGATCCTAACAGGGGAAATTAGCTTTGCATCCAACCGACCTTTCTGGTGGTCATTGAAGGCGAAGGCTAAATGAAACTCTTGGCACACCTGTCTTATCAACTGCGTTTCTTCCCTCGTTATGAACCCTTCCACCCCTATTTTCATAGTGTCTGCTACCTCATCAGGTATCTGATGCCCTTCTGCCGCTCGCCTCTCTCTTATTACCCACAGGATTTCCTCCTCCTTTTCCATGGCCTCTTCCTTTGATGTTTCCACTAGGATCGAGACCGGTTTGGCCTTCTTTCCTACGGGTTTGTACTTTCGCACACTTCCTTCCGGGATCGTTCTCCTAAAAAATGAACGGTCGGGATCGGCCTTGCCAACTCCATGGCGCGTGGTTGGAGACTGACAACTTTCCCATTTAGGCAGTAGCCTTTCTGGACCTCTTGTTCAAATTTTGCCAGCGCGGCCGGGTCTACCCCGACTTTGTGATATCTAATAGCTTTGATAAGTTGCAGCAAATCTGGGATTTCGAGGACTACTTTTGTCGTTTCCTTCCGGCCTTCCTTCGGCTTGGGCAGGCTGGCCCCAAGTTCAACTTCCGACTCTTTTTCTGCGACCATAACCCCTAGGACCTCGTCCTCTTGCCTTCTTTTCTTTAAGGGGAGGCCCATTTTGATCCATTCCTTTTTGCTGAAGGCCTCCTCAATCATGATTTCTACCATTTCCCTTATACCTTCCAACCGTGCGAATGCCCCTTTTCGCGCACTCTCTTTAAACGTGGGTGACCAGGTGGCCAACTTGCCCTTTGGAGGATCCCCTCCGGTCCCGAGAAGTCGGAGTTCTCCGCGGCCAGTCACCGGGTCCTCTATATCTACCATATACGTACCATCGTGCAAGTGCATGCCTATCATTTCCACGTTGGCACACCATGGTCTCCCGAGGATTATGTCGTGATCCATGTCTTCCATTACGGTCATTCGCTGAAACGACCAGATCGACTCTCGGATGCCTGCCTTAACTGCGAACTTGGTGACATACCCTGCAAAGGGAATTTCCCCGCCGCCCCCCCGGATGCTCCCCGTCACCTCCTTGTTTACGGTGCAGCCGGTAATCGCTGCAAAGTCCCGTCGTATGAGGGTAATTTCCGCACCACCGTCCACTAATGCATCTGTGTGGTGGGTTTCGATTTGCACTTTCAGCTTTCCTACGGGCAACGCATGGAAGCTAAGCTTTGTCCCGGGAGGTGCCCTCAGACTTCACCCCCTTCTCGGTCCGGTAGGCTTAGGCGGATGTCCGCAAAGGCTTTCTCCAGATCTTCCAGATCCCCTGGAATTCTTTGGAGGTTAGAGACCCCTTGCGGCGCCTTGGCCTCTTTGACTTCCTGTTCCTGTGGTTCCGCGGCCTCCTCTACCTCTACGCGTCTGCGCGTTAGCAGGTGCCTAAGCCCCTTAAGCAGTCTCGGGCTTGCTTGCAACATGGCTTGAAACGACACAGATACCATGGTGCCCAGGAGCTTGCTCAAGGTGTCATCGACTTCCGGTATAGCGAGGATCGGGATTTGGTATCTAAATTTCTTCTTTGCCGCCGCAACCTTGTCTACCGGCTCTTCTTCCCTTACCTTTCCGTAGACCTTTTCTTGTTCCCCGGGTTCAGTTTCTTACTGATCTGCGCTAGTCCCTGCGACTTCTTCCATTACTGTATCTTGAATAAGCTTCTTTTCTGCGCCGGCCCGTCGGGTGGTGATATTTACCCTATCCTGCCCGTTGCCTTTCATGATAAAGTTGGTCTGTGGTCCGCGCCCCCTTGGTTGGTCCCAGACAATCTCGGCTACCGGTTCCGCTTCTACGGCAGCTATATCCAAATTATTCAGGAGGATGACGGCATGCCGCATCCCTCCCGGTGAATTCCAATTTATGCGCTCTCCCTGGGGTCCAGAATTTCACCCTTGAGGGACCTACTGCACCTTTGCCGCACGATGTTGTGGTTGAGTCTTGGACAGGCCCGTACGAAGTGCCCGACCATCGTGCAATACTTGCATTGTTTGTTGGCCGGGTCCCTCCTGCCAAATCCCCAGTTTGCTACAACTGCCGGAACCACGACCTCTTGGGGCGGGAGGGCGGGTCGGGACACTTGCGCCTGCATTACCAGTAGCGCGTTCTCCACTCTTTCTATCTTGCTGTCGACTCCGTGCACTCGTTCGTGCAGGCTCTCTATCCCCTTCTTGACCTTATCCCCCATCTTCCCAGTCAAGTCTATAACCTCCCCTTCCTTAAGCAGGGCTAGCGTATCGGTCACCACTGTCTTTTCCGCGAGGTCTGTTACCGTACTGAAGTCCACATCCCTTATGTACTCAAACTTACTGGTCTGCTGGTAGGCTGACAGAATCTTATCCTTATCGAACTGGGAGAACTGCCTGAGGAAGTACTTACTCATTATGCGGTCCGTTACCCCGGGGATTCGCAGTGCCACTAAAGCGAATGCCCTTAGGAAGTCATTGTAGGTCGCATAATTTTTCCTTTGAACTGCCGCCAATTCGGCTTCCGTTGCCATTTTCTCTGCCTTCAGGTACTTTCTCATCATCTCATTCCGGGTTTCTTTCCAAGATCTACTGGAGGCGACGATAGCCATAATGTCCCTTCCTAAGCTCAGCGACACGTGCTGCCCTAAGTGGTCCATTTTTTCTTCCTCAATCCATTTCAATAAGGCTGCCAGGTTTTCGTAATCTATCAGGAATTCCGTAATGTTTGCCCCATCGAAAGTGAGTTTCTTCTTGGCGTCCGCAAGATACCCCTGATTCTTATTCAGTGCCCGAGTGAGGGTGGCTACTATCCTCTTGAGGCCCGCTTCAGAGTTCCCCGTTTCACCGGCCTCACTAGTCCCTTCTCCGTCCTTGCTTTCCCTCTACTTTTCCCCGGCCTTGGGCGTACCCTCCGGATCAAACCAGCCTAACACCCTTTCCCTGAGGCTCGAGAGTCCATCGCAGCCTTCGTTATTTTTGGTGTGGCGGGTAGACGACTAGCGCCGCTATCGATAGTCGGCGGTGTCGTGGCTTTTTCTGCCTCTCTGTGGTCGGGGAGTCCCCCTTTTCTTTCTCTTTCTTGCTGGGTGTTCCCTTATGACTACTATCTTTACCTCCATACCTGGCTTCGCCCTGACTGGGCCTGCGTCCCTCTCGTGGCCCTTCCCCTTGGGAATCCTCTTCGCTCCCAGCCATCATTTGCTCGATAAGTCTCGCCTTATACTATGCAGTCCGCCTTTCTATTTCTGCCAGCTTACGGTGTGCGTCTGAGACTTTCGTTTTCTTGGGCGTGGTTCCCCCGGAGTTCCGAGGACTCGTCCTTTCGTTGTCCCTACCTTCTCTATTTTCCTGCGGTTCTCTTTTACTACCCCCAACTTTCCCCGAGCTTTCCCCTGTGGAGAGACCCTTCCCATCTTCTCTGGCCCCTTCTGGCTTGGCTGACTCCCGGTCCGACCCCTCGTTCCGTTCCACATCCCTATTCGTACCCTGACTCCCCTTGCTCTACAGTCCTTCGGCTTGTTCTTGTGACGCCATTTCTTTACCTAGCCTGCACATGGAATTTTTTTTTGCAAAAATGGTCGGTTGTTCATAGCCTCCCTAGTTTTCATGCCCTATAGTCCACTTATTTCCATGCTTTTCCCGTCTTATATTACTTCGGAACGACTCCCCCGACTTTTCTTTTATTAGGACGCCATTCAAAGTTTCTCCCGCCGAGGACTTGCCGCCGAGGTTTGGCATTTTGTCACTGCCGCGCCTCGGTTCTTTTAGGGTGGCGTCTGAAGCCAATGGCTTTCCTATCGAGGATAGTCCTTTTGGCTTTTTGACATCCGAATGCCTCAGCTTTCTCAATGCGGTGGTCTTCCCAGTTCTTTCCTTCCACATCCTTAGGTACGGCGGAACTCCGACCACTGCCCCTTTTGCCGATGGCTACCTTCTCATCTCGTTTTCGACTTTCTTTTTTCCGCGCTTTTTCCTAGCATCTTTTCTCATGCTGGTCCCTCAGGCCCACCTTGTTCGTCTGGTTCCTCGAACAGGTCAGCCACCCTGGCAAGGTAGTTTTCTCCCATCTCTATTTCCCTAACGATTATTGGTTCATATTCCTCAAACGCCAAGCGACGCAATCCGAATATCAAAATTTCAATGAGGTTAAGTAATTCCCAGGCCTGATTTTCCCAAAACGACCCATGCCTGACCGACACATAATAAAACATCCCCGTTGTCTGTGGCCGGAAGTGGTGGGGCCAGACCAGGGTCGAATCCACCAGATCCCTGACCCTCTTGAGGCTCGCAAATACCAGGTCCGCCATGAAGCGGGGGACTCGGCACCTCAGCCCTGTCATTGAGACCTTAAATTCTCGCCAACCTCCTACCTCCACCCGGGTTCTCAATCCCACATCCCTTCTCCCTCGCACTTCCTGGCCTACTCGGTTCAGTACCCTAGTAGCCCTTTGGAAGATTGGTAACAACCCATGCCCTAGCGCCAGTTCCGTTCCTAACATGTGCCATCCAAGTTCTGGTAGGTATACGGTTCCAGTCACCCTAAGATTAGTATATAGATCGTCCCCTGGTCCCCTGTTGATCCTCATACCATCCCACAAACATTCTACCATCATGAATGCCTGGTCCCTTCCCAAGGTCACGGCTCTCCATTCGGTGTCAATTCCTCGGACCATGTAGCTTGCCGGGAGCGATACCTCCCATCCGCCTCCACATTCCGTGGGTGGCCGCGGGTGCGTGGGCCGTCGCGACATCCGGGCGTGTCTCATCGCCATTATTGATTAACGGTCCGCTGCACAGTTTAAACAGCAAGCGAGTTTACTTATTTCATCCAGTCTCCGATCCTTACCTGAGCAATTCCTCGGTCCTTAGCTCGATACTTCTTTTCCTATTTATCCCCTTCCCTTCTTTCCTTGAATCTCTCACCAGCCTGTTCCTGCTTCCGTCGGCTCATACAATCGATGCAGATCATCCACGTACGCCATTCCCCGACTCATTTCTCGTCGGACAGCGCCCCATAAAACCTCATTGCTAATAGTCGGAGCCCTCGGCCTAGTGGTAAACATGGCGTGCAGGATTCGTAGCACCTCATACCTCTGATCTCCGCCAAACGGCCCCATTTCTAGGAAGGCTCAATAATATTCTCGGTGCACCAACGTGTCTTCATACGTCAGATTGGCGAGGTCAGCGACCGCCCGCCTAACAAGCTCCAAACCGCCTAGCTGTTCTAACAAGAAGGGCGGCAGTCTCATCCGAATGTTTTCACTAGGCAATTCAAAGCTCCCGACCATGGCTACCCTAAGGTTCGCTGTTACATCATCAGCCTCCGAGTCTGCGAACTCGAATCCTGCCTGCCACACCAGCTGCCATGCCCTTTCAAACATACTCAACGGATCCTCTCCTGATGCCAACAGGACTCCGAATTCCCGCCATCCGTCCTCAGACACATACAATCGCCCGTCCGCACGCACATGCCCCCGTGGGTCCAGGTCCCATTCCCCGTTCTCGTCCGCGCGCCACTTGCTGCCCTTGGTCTCCTTACTTCGCAGTTCGCAATGAACCCTACAATGGCCAGACATCCCATTCCCTTATCTTAGCAATTTCCCCATGCTTGCCTGGCCCCGCGGCTTTTCCTACTCTTAATCGAACCACAGTACCTCAAACAGTTTGAACACATCATCCACGTAGCACGGTGTCGCCGCTACCTCCCGACGGATTATGGCATCCCTAACTTCCGGGGCTACTTCTAGTTGATCGTACCTGTCCAGATTCAAAATGATGAGGGCTTCCCAGACTCTATCGCCGTGGAAAGGCCCGTACTTCAACGATGTTTTGTAAAACTCCTCTGAAAACCACGTGTAGTCTATGTGCACCCTTTCCATAGTGTCGGCCACTTCCGCAACGTGGTAAAAACCCCCAAACCAGTCCATTATGAACTCGGGGACCCAGATCCTCTTTCGCGAGCAGGGTGGTCTAAACTCTTTCCATCCCCCCATCACGACCTTGTAGTGGACTTCATCCCATCCCTTATTGGCAAACCTCTCACCCGCCTTCTGAGTCCTCATTTCTGCTCCCTCCAGAAGCCACATCGGGTTTTGTCCCGCCGCAAGCGTGGTACAGAACAGATGCCACCCTTGCTCCGACAGGACGACCGTCCCTACCGACTCCACTTTCCCTTTTGCGATATCTTCCCATCCATCCTCCTCCCTAATGGGGTTCCAGATACATTCTATCCATAGGTATGACAGTTCCGGTACGATCTCAAGCCCGATCCAGTCACACGTCGCTCCCCTCCATTCATATTCCGCAGGCAAGGGCATCTCTACCCCCCCCTTAATCTGCCTTGGTTCCCATCCTTCGAACGTGCAATCCCTCAGTTGGAATTCTCGAGCCGTCGATTCCCTACCTGCACATAGCCGACCACCCATTTTCCCCGAGTAAGCCCCCCCCTCAGAAGTCCCCGTCCTCTATCTCGTCCCCGTCCTCATCATCACCGAAATCCTCCTCCCCGTTTGAGAACAACTCTTTCACCCCTTCTAGGAAGGTTTCACCCGCCGCCACACTCTGGTAGACTATTTGCCAATGCACCGGGCTAGGAACAAAGACTTCATCCGCGCTGAGGAGGTTTAATACCTCAGCCAATTCCTCCGCCCAGTTTCCCTCAAACGGCCCTGCCTCCACCGATAGTCTAAAGAAATCCTGTCGAGCACACTGGTACAGCCTCAGGCGTGTCATCGACCGACATATCCGTTCCGGTCTATCCCTGGTCCCAAAGACGGCGTCTACCAAAAACGGGGGTAGCACGCATCTCATCGTCCTAAGGGGCCGTCTCATTTTTCCCCTGTCCCCGAGCTCCACTCGCACCTCTATCTTTTCCATCTCCATTTTCGCCCGCTGACATGCCGCCCATACCACCTCCCGTTCCGCTTGCCTAAACAACTGGTCTGGTGCCGTGCCTAATACTAGCCCAACTACCATTGCATTTTCCATTTCCTGAGATAGGTAGACCCATCCTCAAGCTTCCACTGTTCCCCGGAATTCTAAGTCCATCAGGCTGGGTGAAAGCCTCGTCAGGCTGACCTTAGTCCAAATCGTCTGTATCCAGAGGAACATGTCTCTTTCGTCCAGCATCACGGTTTCATAAGCTGGCTCGAGGTCTGTCCACGTTCCTTCTTCCGGGAGGACGACAGATACCCCTTCCCTTACGTCTATGGGCATTTCCAGACTGCTAGAGTAGACAGGGGGCGACAACCACCGCGCCATCTCGTTTTTTCCGGCTCCCGTCCTGTTTTCATAAGAGAGCACCACACGGCCCTTCATGGTCAGACTGTCTCCCTTTTTGTAGATGAGAATCGTTTTCAGCCCCCTCATCCGGGTCCCTCTAGCATTTTCTACCTATTCCCCAGAGGTCGTTGTCCCACCATACCCTCAATCGATCACCAGTAGCCAACATTCCTTTCTCTCAATTCTTTTTCCTTCCGACTCCTATCCAGCCTCATCCTCATGTTCTCTCACTCGTGCGGACTTAGACAGGGGGTGAGATTAGACTTAGAAGCTCAGCTCCCATCCCAACACCCATCAAGCAAGCTTTACAGAGGGAGGCACAAAAACGGAAACTCAAGCAATCATCGCACACAGACCTCCTCACCGGCCTTTTCCCAAAAGTGGTCTCTCCACTGTTACTATCGGCAAAGTTTTATCCCGTACCTCAAGCACAACTCAACCGTCGCGAGCGCGGTACCCAGACTCCAGTGGGGGGTCGCCCTCACCTTCTTGCCCAGAGTACCCCATCCCGTATTGCCGCTTTTGCTCATCCATACCGACACCGGGAATCACCCCGTGTGCCTAAATACAGGGATAAAAGTCAGCCGTCCAGGCATTCACTTCCATCGGTCCGACAAGCAACAACCTTTCCCAAACCAAACTACGAGAGGCTACTTCGTCTCCGAGGCTCCGTCTTTGCTCGCATGCAGCGGCACTCCCTCCGCCAGTCCACAGGCTAGGCCCCGCCTAAAGAAACGTTTCACACCCTGCCCGGCAGATCAATCGAGTTGAAGCCCGTCACCGCGCGAACGAGGATGCTACTAAGCACCTGGCGTGACAAACTCTCGTTAGACAGCTCGGTGGCCTGACCCCTGCATACGAACAAACGATAACCTACAAAAAGAGAACGACGTTTAGCAACCCACAGTGGCCGGTGCAGACCCCTCCTTACCTTCCGAAAGGCAGGACGCTCAAATCCCCATCATCCAGTCACAAGTCCCAAACGGGACACACATAATACAAGTGCCTTTCCCTGGGTGCACCCAGCGCTTCCTACCCATACCTCACAATTTTTCTCTCAGAACAGTGGGTGCCACTCACCCCTAAGCTCCATACATAGTGCCCGGTTCCTTTTCGTGAGCATCTTCAAAGGTGAGCTAGTTTTCCTTGGAGTCTAGCAACTCCCTTCATTCCCCTTATCTTCACTTCATGTCTCCGTTCATAGGCCAGGATTGTTCCTTCTCGATTACCCTTTGTGTTCATATGAGGTTCCTTCAAGCATTTAAGTGCGGTGCATGGAGCCCGCTGGGCTCCGAAGAAAAGGAAAGAAAACACCCGTGTCGGTCGGATCACTCCGCCGCGGGATTTTCGTCGGAACCCGGACTAGCCCGGAATCCCAATCGCATGCCAGGTAACCGGAGCCCTTCTTTCAAACGAAGAGGAAGGGTCGACCTGCGGCTTGCCAAAGGCTTCCCCGGTCTGACGAACATCAGCCCGAGCGAAGGAGGACTAGAGTCACCTCCAAAGGAAATGGTTGATCAAGTGTGCAAGCATGCATGTTATTCCTCCAGGCCTGGCCTTGCCATGCGCCCAGCCGCCCTCAAATCTGATTCACTCAAAGGGATAGAGCATACACAAGTCCTTATTCCTTATCTTCAGTTATGTACACCGTCATGCGTCGGGCACCCCCTTCGAGATCGTCAGGGTCAGTTTAACCCATACCCGGCGCCTCCACCATTTTTGTAGGGGCCGTACCCTGAAGGACTCTCGAGCCTTGGTCGACCCCACTGCGGGTCCCATTTGGCTCGACCCGCCCACGCTCACGCTCAGGGCACGGGTCGTTCGTCCCAGGGGCACCCCCACCTAGTGCTATGAGATGGATGGGGATGGGCCATTTGCGAGAGGGCTTTACATTGGGGGATGTAGCTCCGCTCTCGCGATAGATGGTAGCTCTTTGGTCACTCGTGGCATTTTCCCGATTCAATTAAGTCTGACTAGGCGATTGCTCCTTTCAATACGCAGGCAGTCCAGGGAGTTTATTGGAAATTCGTCTTCTTTCGTGTGTAGGCCAACCGTCATCCATTGGACCACACACCTTTTCACTAAGTCTAGTGGCTCAAGACAGCCCCTACGGTATCCTTGGGGTGGGGTGGCATCGCCCGGACCCGTAGCCGCTATAATTTTTTTTTGCCTGAGCCACTAGCATTGCATTCACCTATCCAAGACTGCCCTTAGTCCTTCCGGGCTTGCATCGCATTCAAGAGAGCCATTGCATTCAATCATCACACAAGCCACATCCAGGCGTCTACCACTCATCCAAGCATCCGACCATCAAACCCATCCTGCATTCATAGTTTAAGCAAGGTCTAAGTCCTTCCCTCGTCGCTTTCCCTATTCTCGCCCGCATCCGACGGACGCAGTCCCGCTCAGACCACCCTAGGCTACTCACCTGCGCAAGACCACACAAAGCAAGGCCCAGTACAATCCCCATTGGGGTCAACACATCGCCCCTCCCGCAAGCCTAAGTTTCTTTTGCCTTTGATGATCCTTTGGTTATCTTTCCCTTCACTCAAGCAAGCCATGCCTTCACCTTATTCATGCAATCGAGAAAGATGGTTGAGTCAAACTGACCTTGTCACAAACTCCACTCTTTTCCGCTTTCCCAAATGCTCACAAAAGTCTGGTGCTTTTTCCTTCTTGGTGACACAAGGGACAGGCAGCCCTCCCCTTGCCCTCGCTTTCCACCAAGTGAGGCTCAAGTTCTTTGCCGTTCGTTCCCTGGCAATGTAACAGGTGAGGAGAGAGGTTAGTCACATGCCAAGGAGGGGAAGGGGTGAAGGAAGAGTTACGGATCAAGGGGCTTGAAAGAAGGGGAGAGAGAGCGAGAGGGAGAGAGAAAGAGCGAAAGAGGGGGAGAGAGAGAGAGGGAGGGAGACAGAGGGAGAGGAAGAGAGAGAGAGAGAGAGAGAGAGAGAGAGAGAGAGAGAGAGAGAGAGAGAGAGAGAGAGAGAGAG